CTTCCGCGAACGTTGTGTGCCCGGATATGCTTTTCGGATTACTTGCAAGACTGGTCCCAAGGCCCAAGAAGACATGCTCCTGAAAACATTTTAGTGGCTTCGTTCAAGGCTTCAAGGTTGTGGTTAAATGGCTGAGATGACACAAAAACATACATAGCTGGTTCGACTTGCATGTTGATAGCCAGGGATTCTGAAAACTGAGCTTCCGCAAGCCCTTCCGCGAAGAAATGCTTCCGCGGAGCTTCCGCGTCCTTCCGCGCGCACAGGAAAACCCAGTTTTCGGACCATGATTTGGTGAGTTTCTGTGCTGCACACTTATAATTGATCTACCGTAAAAAGCCCCTGCTCACTTGGCTCTCCTTCAGCAAAGAAATGCATGCCATGGTAACACGGATGTTAGCATCTCCGTTCTGTGGATGCAAAGAGATGGATGATGTGGTTTACTTGGCGGAAATCCCAGAGCGAAAACGCGAAAATGCATGAACATGAGTGAGTTCCACAAAACAACGCAAGACAACAACGCGCTTTGTGCCCAAACACGTTTTTGCGCTGGCAACAACTTGGACTGAATCAGCAAAATTGAGGAATGACTACAGCGAAAACACCGTTTCACGTCAACCACTGGCAGATTAAGCCAGCGCTGATATCTGACGTGTTGGTACCACCACTGCTACTATTACTACTACTGCTGCTACTAGGTAGCAGGTAGATCTTACTACTACTACTACAACAACAACTACTACTACTACTACTACTAAGACTAGTAGTAGTAGTAGTAGTAGTAGTAGTAGCACTAGTACTAGTACTAGTACTATGACGACGACTACTACTACGGGCACGGGTACTAGTACTCCTTCCACCATCACCACCACCACCGCCACCACTACTGTTACCATCCACTCCTCCTCTTCCTTCCGATGAACGCGTCATCTTCAGTGCTACGTTATGCTTGCAAAGATACAGAAAGCACCGAGTCCTGCACCAGACGGAAGTCCTGCTGCATGGACAAACTGTCATGTAAGCGTGCCTTATCACGAATAGGCTGATCTTGGCGCAGTGTATAATTCATGAGACCAGTCACAAACAAGTCCTGCGTCATGTCATAGATCCTGACTGTGCCATCTTTGCCAGCACAGGCCAGGCATTGGGTAGACCAGGCCACGGTCCAAATCCTCAGCCAAGGCGGTGCTTGGGGAGCAAGCTCCTCGGGAAAATTCCGTGATTCAACTGAGGCTGCCCAGACACTCATCGGATGAGTCTTGCAGGCAGTGAACAAGTTGGAAATCCTCGCAATTGCCGGCTATATAGCACCAGGGAGCATCAAAATCAGCAGTCCCCCAGAAACAGGTACTTAGGCTTTTGGAAGGCTTGAGAATCACATTCATTGAGTTGGAAAGCATCGGAGGCGGGGGAGTGAGTTCTGCTCGAGTGTCGCTTTAGACGGCTTCGGACTAATCGGTTCTGGTCTAGGGCGCCAGAACCTGCATTCTTAGGGTCGTGCCTGTTGAGAGGTGACATTGTTCAGTAAGGTGTTGAAGTGATATTGTGCACATGGTGCACCCAACAGATGTTGATGTGGAAATGTGTGTGGCAGGTTGTGGGTTCTTTCTGTCTCAACAGACACAACCCTAAGAATCCAGGCTACCAATAAGTAAAAAGATGAATTTGGTAGCCTGGATTCTTAGGGTTGTGTCTGTATGTATGTATGCATGTATGTATGAATGTATGTACGCATGCATGCTCCGCACGGGAGAGCAGTTTTGAACGAAAGAAAGATGAAATTTGGAGGATGCTCCGCACGGGAGCGCGATTTTGAAGGAAAGAACGATTAAATTTGGAGGATGCCCCGATTTTGAACGGAAGGACGACGAAATTTTGAGGATGCTCCGCACGGGAGCCCGATTTTGAACGAAAGGACGATGAAATTTTGAGGATGCTCCGCACGGGAACGCGATCTTGAGCGAAAGAACCATGACATTTTGAGGATGCTCCCCGCGGAGCGCAATTTTCGTCAGAATTTTCAGGCTGCTCCGCACGGGAACGCGATTTTGAGCCAAAGAGCGATGAAATTTCGAGGATGCTCCGCACGGGAGCGCGACTTTCATCAGAAATTTCAGGATGCTCCGCACGGGAGCGCGATTTTGAGCGAAAGAGCGATGAAATTTCGAGGATGCTCCGCACAGGAGCGCGATTTTGTTCAAAACGGGGGATGAAGAAGATACCCTCAACATAATCGTTCATAAATGATCCAAATTTTCCGAATGCTCCGCACGGGAGTGCAATTTTCGTCGATTTGGATGAAGATAAACCAACGAAATTTCGAGGATGCTCCGCACGGGAGCGCGATTTTTGAAGATCTAAACATGATCAAAAACGCAAAAAAGTGGAATTGTCTCGCGCGGGAGCGCAATTTTTGAGTTAGCAAAAAATGGGATTTTGAGGATGTCCCGCACGGGAGTGCAATTTTCATAAATCCAAGCGCAACCGGTTCGGAGGCAGACCCCTCTAGCAAGACTAGCATAAAGGCGGAGTGACCTATTTTTAAGATCGCAAGTCAACATAAAACAACATTTTTTTGAGGATGTCTCGAGCGAGAGCGCAATTTTGCGGCGAAGAAGGGCACGTCCCAGATGTTTGTGCGACGGAAGAGCACGCAGGCAAGGCGGGCGACAGTGCAGCAAAACAACTAGAAGCCCACCGTGTATGTGGGGAATAAAGTCACCGAAAAAGAAATTAAATCATTCCGAGAAACTATAGAATCCACCCCTACACCCACCCGAAAAACAACAGAATTCTCAGAACCTAAAAGCACCAAAACATCTGTCACAGAACCAGATTTTGTGACTCTACTGTGCTTGATGTGATGCTGGCCCAGAACTTTTGAAATTCCAGGTGCCGCTCTGAAAACCACCCGCTAATTTGTGGGTTAGCGGTTGGGTAGCGTTGCGATGGTGGTCTGGCATGACAACATGCTGAAGGTGAGGCTGATGGGACTTGGGGGCCAATGCCTGGAGTCCTAGAACGGCTCCTGATGCTGACACAAGCCTCCACCTCGATGTGCCGCTCGCGCATGTTGCTCGAAGTTAAGAATGAGCCGAAGTTTGAAGGAATGCTCGTCAGATCGACTTTTGATCACGCGCTTCACTGCTGCGCATGCTGCCAACACGTCCACGGGCTGTGCACACTGGTCAACCGCAGGTGCTTTTCCTCGCTGATGGGGTTACATGAGTGAGTGTGCAGGTTTCATGGTTGCCTGCTGCCTCCAAATGGGCGGCACTTAATTTGGGCCTTGAACTGTCATGCCCATTGGGTTCATACTGCGTTCACATGATTCATGGAGCACTTGTGCGTCTCGATGTAACGGTGTTGAGACGGCTTTTCTGACAGGTGTCGGTAAAAATCTCTCCCTTTGCCCTTGGCACTTGAGCACATACTGGCTCAGACCTCTGCGGCATGTGCCTTCAATCTTATTGTGGGCAGGGGCTACTTGTTATTCGGTAGATGCTGCTACGTTGCTACCGACCCCGTGCAAAACAGGAACAGGAGCTGAAGATAGCTGAAGTGCCCAAACCCTTTTCTCTGCAAGGGATGCCCAAACTTCCTTTCTACAGAGCATGGACTCTCCTGCGAGAGGTCGTAGACTCTGACGAAGCTGTCGTCGCTGCCTGCTGCCAGGAACTTGGCGGAGAAGGCCAAAGAGGTGATTGTCTCAGCGGCATCGGCAAGCTCCCTGAGAAGACTGAAGTCCTCTCAGCTTCGGGCAGTAGGTACCAAGTCTGACCTCTCACGTGATTTACTGAGAGCCCGTGCACTTCCACCTGAGAGCTGGGCAACCTTACACCTGTACCTGCAGTCTGCAACCAGTCCCCACTGTCGATGCTTGTCAACCATGATGGAGTAAGTACAGATCCCTGAGTCCTTGACATCGTAAATGCGAATGCGGCAGTCGTCACTTCCCATTACTAGGTGTTCGTCAGACAACGCGAGCGCATTGACCACCCAAGAGGCTGCTGTCAGGGTCTGAAGCAAATTCAAGTCCTGGTACTCAAGCAGCAAACACACTTTTTGGATGTAGGCTCCGTAGACTTTGATATAAGTATCTGTCTTGTTTGTGCACACTGCCGTCCTGCAGATCGTAAATTCTGACTGCTCGATCCATGCTTGCAGCCACCAAGTGCTTGCTGGAGGCGGACAGCGACCAAACCTGCCACAGCAACATCTCACTTGCATGACAGATCAAGTCATGCAGCAGGCTTGGCCTGCCTCGTCTGTGGCATCAGCCAGTTGTCGGACCAACGAGAAATCCTCAGGCCGACATCATGTTCAGTTGTCGGACCAACGAGAAATCCTCAGGCCGACATCATGTTCGCGAAGCCTGATGCGTTTGCAGAGAATGCCTCTGCGATACTCCTAGAAATGTCTTACAGCCAGAGGGCTTGGGATACATCGTAGATTCTGATCTTGCTGTCGTCTCCTCCTGCGGCCAGGATTTGACCGAAGAGCACCATAGAATTGATCATCTGGTTTGTGTCTCGCAGCTCTTTGGCGAGGAGGAAATCCTGGCAAAGATTTTCGAAAAGGAGCGCATGACCCTGTGTTCTCCTGTGCCAGGCGTTTGATGGCGTTTGAAGTTCAGTCTGACACAAATCAACCCACCCCGCCAGACCACCAACTCGACCGCTGCATCTATTCACTGCAGTTTCACTTCAGCGCACATGATTCCAGTGCATCCTTTGAGTGCTCATAGATTCGGACAGCCCCGTCGCCACAACCCGCTGCGAGGAATTGTGCGGACCAGGCCAGGGACACGGCAGAGGGACAAGCTGCTTGGGCAGTCAAGCCAAAGTCCTGGAAGAAAACGCAAACTTGCAGCTGAACAGCACACTTCACTTGCTGCTCAGGCTGAGATCTGACCTTGCACGAAGGCCTCTGCTAGGGCTCCCCCAGTTTTGTGGTGGTCCTGCAGCTGGTGCTCGACGCCAAGGACGGCACTTTCTAGATGGAAGCCGCTGGCTCTCAGCTGTGCCGCTATAGCCCGAAGTAGTGGCATCCGCGACTCCTTCATGACTAAATCGCAGGATCTACGAAGCTTTGAACCCATTCTAACCTCCAGGTTGTGGCCCCCTGCGCACACAAAAAGATGGGTGCAGCACCACCTTGCACATGTCTCGTGAGTGCGGGAGCAGCTGCAGATGAACCACTATTATGTGCTGAACAAATCCATGTTCTCAGTTTCTCAGTGATGGGCCCAGGTCCTTGAGCTTCGAGCTGAGCATACCATCCGGGTCCAACCTCTCCAGCTTTGTGAGCAAGTCGTTCAGCTCTTCCTGTCCAAGTCTTGCCCCTTAAAACAATGCTTTTATCAAAGCATTGCATGGAGTGCCAGCTGGAATGGTCCGATTAACAGTACTAGTTACGAGCGACGGGGTTTCAGCATGCATACGCCAGTGAAAACCAGGTCACAAAAGCTTCTTGTGGGCGCTGCTTGCTACCAGCAGCAACGTACTCAGTTGATGCCTCGCCTTGCCTTGTTCTTGAGAACCGTCACGGTCTCCTCAGTCGTAAGAGCCTGAACATAGCAGGCTGGAAAGTTGGAAGTGTAATCTATGTGCTCAAATCACCTCGTGTGAAAGCTTGAAATTTCTGACACAAGCTGCCAAGCGTATGCATTAGGTTCAGGAGGACTGAACAAAGCACTTCTCCATATATGTTGGTTGGCAACTTGCAGGAAAACATCGGCCTGCAGCCTTATCACCAGAAAGTCAGCGCATCTCAGCCCCGACTCGAGAAGAAGATCAATACCTCAAATGCGCAGCAAAATTCCTTCGACGTTCCCTCACGCTGGCTGCCTTTGAAAGCTTCTTGAGGCCTTGGCCTTTTGGAGCCTGGGCCAGTGCATGGATCAGCGTTCCAAAGGCAAGGTCCTTCTCTTGGAGCAGAGATTCGGAGACAAAGTCGCGCAAGATGTTGTCCCGGTGTCGGGCACCGAAACGCAAGAGAAGCTGGACGGTCGGGCTATGTTTGTGCCGTATGGCAACACTGAGAATAGTCTTCTTCTGGTAACTGTATGTAACATCAGCCTCAAATCGCAAGAGGTCGTGCAAGATCTGGAATCGCTGATCATCCATTGGACCGCCTTCAAGGACAACAAACATTGCCGATTGGCCCTTCTCATTGGTATAGTTCGGATTTGCCCAGCTCCTAAGACACTCACGAACCGCTGAGACATTCCCATCTCTCGATGCGAAGAGTAGCTCGCTTCGGTTTTGCAAGCGTTCCTCGACTTCTTGCTTCAGCTGTGTCTGCAGTCCCACCAGAGTTTCGAGGCGAGACTTCTGGGCCAACATGGATACAGCGCGCGCCTTGGACTCATCCTCCGGATTCATCTTCGCCATCAGCATTCCTACGGGAAGCCAAGCCCATCCCCTGAAAACTGCCAGCACTGGCACTATCGATTATCCGCACTCGTAAGGTCCTTCCATGAGCGCGGTCACTCCACGCACGCGGTCACGCAGCGAGGGGTCAGCGCGAGCACAGAGCAGAGCCCAGGCTGCTCGCTCGTGGCCGCCCATCATGGCCTCGAGAGAAATGCAAAAACCCAACACAATCCCGTTTCAGAACCTACAAGAAATCCCCCCTCCAAAAGTCAAATCACTTTCGGCCTCGAATAAAGCCGTCCGGCCATCCCATCTCCGCTGCAAGTTCACGCTGGCCCCATACTTCAGAAAGACATTCCTCGATTGACTTGCAGCAGACCCTATGTAAACCTGAATCCTAAATGGGGGTTTCCGAAAATGAGGGGATATGAGGGGTCCTCTGTTGGGGGTCTCCAGAATTAGGGTTTGAGTATATTGGGGATCTGTATGGGTCTCTGCTCAGCCTGACCTTCCAAACTGCCAAACGGGAGCATCAAATTACCAGCTTACTCAACAAGGTAAGCCTCACAAGCTGTGCGTTGCCTTGCTTTGCCGCCTGAAGCAGTGAGACATGTCGGCACTGTGATCGACGCGTTTACGTGCAGGCAAACTTCAATCTAGTTGTATCGTGTAACCTGCAAGCCCAGAACCAATCTGGCGGACCTGATGCAGGACGGGCTGGCGGTCATCGTCCAGGATGTCCTTTCTTCAGCAGACCAAGTTGTTAAGTTGTTAAGGGCTCCATCCGACCAGAGCAGACATGCTGACGCATGTGCCAGGCTGAACGTTTCCTCAGACAACTGAAGGCCTAAAAAACACAAAAAGTCAGCAGGCCATCAGTCCTTGAGTTGCTGCTTTGCCTCTGCGTTGCTCCCCAGCGAGTCCATCGCCCAATGCCTCAGCTGGCAAAACCCGCATGGCTTCCTCTGATGGAGGGATTTGGCGTTCATTAGCTCTGCATGCTCCACAGCAGCTGGCAGGGTTCTCGCTGGCTATGATTGACTCTTACAATCAGATTGTGCTGCTTGTTCACAAGTGATCAGGGCCATCCGCGACAACGCTGTGCCGACCCAGGAACAGGATCTCGCTGCACCTGCCAGCATCAGACTGCGCTATTGCCGCCACGAGCTCGCGCTTTACCTCGAAACCACGATGGCCACTGTGCTCCTGTCAGAAAATTCCACCAATAAGCTATTGGCAAAAAACCCTGCGGACCGCCGCAGCTGCCTTCACGAAGGCCATGACATGCGTGTTGAGCTGTAGTTCGCAGACCATGTCATTGATGCTGACAGCCAGCTGAAGATCTCGGTAGCCACTGTCGAGATGCTCTTGATACCTGTTGGGATGGCTAATCATGTCAAGATCTATGTCAGCTCCCCTCTTCCACTTTTCCAATAATAACTATTATTCTGGGTGAAGCGTCACGGAACGAGAATATGACAAACATCCGTGCAACTAGCTCATCCAACGACATTTGTAGAAAAGACTCGTTAAAGCATCCAAATCATATACATCAGCACACGGTTCAGTCACCTGCCTCAGACTTCAGCTGACCGCCATCTGGGGCACGCAAACATACAGTACAGTTGCCTGCCTGAGACCTCAACTGGACGTCAACGGCTATTTGAAGGCGCAGATTTGTGTCGATGACACCCTGGCTTGTTCTGGAAATCAAGCCAATATTAAAGAGTCAGCTTTGAGTCAAAAAAGTGTCAAAGCTCTGGCCGCACCTGTTGCTTTAGATGCTTTAGCTTCTGGAAAAAAGGTGACTTCATGCCTAGTAGCTACCAAAGTCAACAGACTAGTCAAGGAGCAGGTCAGCTTCTGTAGTCCTTTCCTCAAACTCCACTGCCTACAGACCCCACCGAATATGATCAGAAGCCCTTGTGGGAGTTGTAAGGCTTGAAAACACGAGCTAGATAGTTAGCGTAGTCAGTCAATGTCAGTCATACGGTGGGGCTGTTGGCGAGGCGGTGTGTGTGAGCTCCGGGCCCCTGGGGGCCTGTCTGGGCGGAGGGCCGTTGAAAGGGGTGGGAAACCTGAAAATGACTCCAAATAAGTGATTCCTGTGTTCACTCTAAAATTAACACTGCGCGCCCCCTCCACCCTGCACGGCTTTCTGACCTGTGAGTTAAAAAATGATTCGAAAATTGAATCCAAAACTGACTTTTCGGGCTAGCTCCAGGACCTCAGTCGGAGACCCGAAATCTGACTTTTCCCTGGCTTCCATCTGCCACATAGGGTAGCAACGCGCGGAACTGCCGTACAAATGTTCACAGGCTCAAGGAAAACAAGAGCCCCAACAGTAGCCTGCCAGGGATGTCTAATGTTAGCTCATCATCAAGAAAGGGGCTGACAATGATATATTGTTGCCGAGCCAGAAAAATCTCAGAAGATAGCGTTTGCTTTCTAACAAGTTCGGAGGCCGAAAAGATATAAACAAGTAAAATACGCAATCATGAGGGGGTGACAAAAATAATGTTGTCCGCCCGAGAATATATCGATTTTGATAGATTCTTTTCTACTTGTATTACTAGTAAGTACGAGCCACTACAGTACGAGCTGCACTACTTGGTCGTACCCCAACCCCTTGGTTTACTCTTGCGACCCCCAGCCCTCTCTCCATAGACCAAAAACGCAAAACAAGATCTGGAGGGGGGGATCTTCATTGTGACGTGGGCAAAAACACCTTGAACTTTGGAAAAACTTCAATTAGTTTAAATCATTTTTCTGACTTTTCCTCGGGGAAAATCAGATTTCGGGTCTCTGGCCAAGGTCCTGGAGCCCAGCCCGAGAAAGTTAGATTTGGATTCAATTTGCGAATCATGTTTCAAGTCACCCACAGGGTCACGAAACACCTCAGAAAACAGCCCAGGTGTGGAGGGTGCACTCGATAGTAGGGGTTGCTGCGGCCGCAACTGTCGAAGCCAGGCAGCCGGGGAGCTAGCTGGGAGGGTGGTTTTGGCGAGGATCTGATGCTGGCAACCTGCTGGAGTTGTTTTCGGCTTCCTGCAGAGGCCTGGGATTGTGCTTGGAGATTGCGCGCGCAATTGGTCAACACATGTCACCTGGATTCAGGATGTGAGCATGTGGCTGCTGGACACCACCAATGACTTGTTTCTGAGTGGTGGTTTCTGGGTCACCCGCTGACTCCTAAAGTATCACAGAGGACCCAGGGCATGGGTTGGGTTTTCTGACCTGTTACTAGGTCTAAAGTAACTGGGTACCACTACCAGAGAATACTTAGCCTCATCAACGCAAGTGCAGATGATACGCTGCAGTTGCTCGCCTGAGACGTCAACCATCCGGTTCCGTTGCTTGGTAGTATCATGTCTTCCTTTGCTCTTGTGTTGTACTGCCTTGCCCTCCGCATGGCATGAATATTGCATCAGTCCTGGATCGCGTTCTGTTATCTGTCCTTTGTCCCGTCTTGGTGAATCCTCCGCCCAGAAGTCTCTGCATGTCCAGTGTCCAGTCCTGTCCTGCTACTTGTGACTTGGCAAGTCCTTTGTGCCGTCTAGTGGGTGCGGGTCTGCGCCCGGTGCATCGGTAATAACGCTGCAACTCTACCAAACTTCTGCCAGGTGTGTGCGACCAGCGATGACTGCAATCACCTACTTTGACAGCCGCATGCTGCCGCCCTGGCCGGTTTCAGCTCCGCGTGCCTGTCATTGAACTCGATGATTCGCAGGCTGTCGTCCTCTGCAGGGTCCAATCCCAGGCGCTGAACTGCCGATTTGTTGAAAGGCACTAATAAGACGACTTGCTACACAAGGAACCTCTCCGGCCCTTTTCACTGCGCATGTTTTAGGAATTGTATGTCCTTGCCTCAAATCCTAAAAGGTCTGTAAGCCACGAATGCGCGGCACGACTTTGACAACCCCTGGCAAAAATATGGAGCTGTCTCTGTTCTTGAGTCCTTGTCGATAGCCTGCAACCCGTGGTACATGTCAGGGATGGAGTCGTACAGAATGGTGGCTCTTACAATATCTGTCAATCGGTACCTTGGCTGTGCAAACCTTCTCAATTACTAATGAGAGCACCATGACTCATGAATGCCAACTCTGCAGATACCTCACGCAGAGACCCAGTGTGCACAGGGCTTGATGAACCCACTGCGCTGCCCCAAAGCGGACGTGAACAAACACTATACAGCTAAAATGCCACGCCGTGCCGCCGGCGTCTGTATATTTGAAGGCTGCTTTGGAACGGCATCCTAAGTGAGCGGGGCAGTTAAGCTTGAAGAATTCGCCCATGCAATGCACTGGGCAAAACATTGTGGAGCGGTGGTTTCTTTTCTTTGCAAATGCTCGAGAAGGGATGAAGCCAGTCCGCAAGACCCTTCCTAGTCCTCCGCACGTAGGGATTTAACGCGCAGCATGGCTCTTCAGAGCAGACGTACAGTGACTCTTCCGCAAGTCCAACCGGGAACATCCATTCAAGTGAAGATGACATGTCCATATGGAGTTCGTGGCCGAAGAAGCCCTGCAGGTGCTTGCGTGCACAGTTGCGTGCACATTCGAGTCTGACAGTGCAGGATTATTTCCGTACTTGGCATTACAACCACAGAGCTCCCAGAAAACCCAACTCAGTTGGGCTAAGGGTCTCTCCTGCCCCTTCAAGCCAGGTATGAGAGCGGTGCCATTCGTGTTGGCTGCAAGATCACTCACTTTCTTGTCGAAAATGAGCTTCTTTTCTTTGTGGAAAGTGAACAGCTCTTCCAAGGTGTCGAAATACGGCTGGTAGTTCAACTGTCACAGATCCACCCGCAGGGCTTGTGGTCTGTCCAAATCTGTTGAGGCAAGCAGGCCTTGATGCTTCTCGCCAAGCGATCTGAGGACGTCACAGGCAAGCACTGTTTGATCTGTTCTGGAAGTCCGTGCTTCTTCTGGAGAAGTAGACCTGATTGGCTATTCAGTCATTTGACAAGCTGCAAGGTTACCTGACAGGAGCAGAGGCATACAATTTGAAGTCAAGTAGCTGACATCACGGTAGGCTTGGAGGACTCCGTCGCCCCCCAACCATTCAAAAGCTGTGGGGTAATCCAGCTTGGCCCAGTCCTGTCACGAAGACAGGACTTTGTTCTAAGCTCTGAAAGCTAGAAATGCAGACCTTGCCTTGTGCTCTGATGTGTGCTGATCCTTTTTTGGAGATTTGCTGGTGGCCTGTGTCACACGCAGAAAGCTCCAACCAAGTCAATCCACAGGTAATCTTTTTGACCTTTTTAAAGACCAGCTGCTAGCCTGACTTGCTGATGATGTGACTTTCTCAGCGGCATCTGCCTTGATCGCCTTCGGGATGGCAACAAGGAATCGCACGTTGTCAACAGCGGCCAGAGATGACCGGGCCATGGTATAGTGATAAGCTGCTGCTGTTGCTGCTTCTGTTGCTAGTGCTGCTGCCGTCGTTCTCCAATTATCTCAGCGTGCCTCTGGAACAGACGTTTCGAGCTCAGCTTCCAAAGCTTCAAGCCTGCTGCGGCCATCAGAGCACAGGAGGGCCAATGGATGACTACTCGACTCGACCTTGTATGCTGTCAACGTGACCTAGCACATGGACCCCGAATTTTCAGAACAAACGCCTAGATACCCTTTTGGCCTCCATTTCATGCATCTGCTAGGTTGATGTGGTCAAATAGGCCAACAGCAGAGATTCCCAAACTGTGGTGCCACCTTCCTTCCCCATTATGCCCAGCCTCCATCTCTCGTCTCCTTACAGCCCTGGCCAGTTTTGGCACTCCACAGCAGACCCATTCAGGATCTGAAGTTGGAATTGAAAGCTTTTGGTTCTTCAGGTGATGCCAGGTGTGGGCAGCGTCAATGCATAATGGCTCCGAGGATCTGCTGCTCATGGCATGCGCGGAAACCAACTGCCCATTTTGCTGAGGGTGCTGCCCGCGGCGGCTGGCATCATCAACGTCATTGGTGTTCCCTTTTTTTGTTTCGCAAGAAGCATGCCGCATGCCCTCAGCTTTCACGCTTCTCTTCTTGGGGCGGTGTGGCGGATGCACGCCTACGGCCGCAGGATTAGCTTTGATGGGGTGCTGCCGACAGCGTCCCGGATGCTTGTTCAGCCTTTGATATCGGACCGCGTCTTGGGACCATGGCACGGGTCTCGTCTGTGCCCGTCGATGGCCAGCTTGTGCCGGCATTCTTCCCACGCGTGGGGTGCCCCAAGGTGACCCCTTGTCCGCTGTTGCTCTTTTGGCTTGTCTGGCTCCATGGAAAGTCCTTGTCCACGCCTTTAATCCGGACATCGGCACCTGATGCTACATGGATGACTGCACCATAGCTGTGCTAAGGTTAAGGCAAGCCAACAGAGCTCTCCTCAACCGCGCTCTGGATGGCACTCGCAGGTTTGATCACGCTCTAGGGGGGGGGTTGTAACCACTTTTGACAATAAACACTGGAACCACGACCACTTTTTAGAAGAACCACGCTACAGAAATTAACTATCCCGACACCCTTGCTTGTTTTGATGCTTAAAAGTACATGCCCATTGCTGCTCGTTGCTTTCATCAGATTGCTTGCCAAAACTACCCCAGAGGCGGCTCCCGAACCCTTGGCCCCAAGCCAGCCCGGGAGCCACTGTTTCGTGCAGCTTTGCCGACAAAACTCCTCAGAGCCAGCTGCTCTGGCTTGGGGCCAGGGCGCTTGGGAGCCACTTTTTTGTCGGCAAAACTGCTGAAATGGTGGCTCCCGGGTTGGCTTGGCTTGGGGCCAGGGTGCTCGGGAGCCACCTCTGGGGGAGTGTTGTCGGCAAAGCAGCAATCTGAGTGCAATTAAGAACATAAAGCAAGCAATCTGATCACATCAAAGCAACGAGCAGCAATGGGAATATACTGTTAAACACTGTCCTGAACTATGTTTTGCTGCTCCTATAGTCTTGTTGTGGTTCCACCCATTCCCCGCTCTCGCTTTCCAAATCAATCAGGGCAAAACTCAAATCTGTGATGGCGAGTCGCCTGACGAGCCCCATCTTTTGCCCATGGAGCACTTGGGTCTCTGCCACCACCTGGGTACTCCGGCAAATCTGATTGAGTCCCGTAGCCCCGATCTCACCTCCCGCCCATCGAGTTTCTTTGACAGTGTCTTGGCGGGTATGCGGCCCGTTGTCGTCTGGCCACCAGTTTCATTGGCTCTCTGCTCGACTGGGTTTCGCCCCTCATGCGCTGCGGTGATCTCAGGGATACCAGGGCTTTGTTTAAAGCTGTCACCGCTGCCAACATTGACCTGCACCCGGTTTTCGGGGTTGCTTTGAAAGGCCTTGCAATCGTTGGCAGGGTTTTACCCGCTGGTGGCCCTCATGTAGATGCCTTGCTCAATGCCCACGCCTTGGACTGCCCGGCCTACGCTAAACAGCATGGGCAGTGGTTGCCAGAGCCTCCAGCCCCTGCATATTCAAGCCGGCCCCAAACAGCGAGAGATTAACAACAGTGCTGAGGGCCGGCAACAAGAACAGCGCCATCATCGCGAGGACGTAGACTGCAACAGCTGCGCAAGGTGCTGGATAAGACCACCAGCAAGACCAGCAGCAAATTATCAAATGAGCTGCAGACCGTGTCGAAGGTGCCGATGTGCCGAGACTGCCCCCACTGCCCCAACCCCCTCGTGGGGATCCGTAAGACGATCGGACCCTGTCTCCTGTGCGCCGCGAACTATTTCGGGCGCCTGTCCGCATTCGGGATGACCACCCCTTGCGCCTCCTTCGCACGCCCTCGCTCCCGCCTTGCCCCCGCAGGGATTGTCAGGGTATTGAGCGCATCAACCTGGAAGCTGCTAGCCATCCTCGGTTCAAACGGTTTTTGTCTTCCGTATCTGTTGAAGAGACCACCTTGCTGGCAGTCTTTAGGTTTGGGGGGCACCCGCACACTTACAACCCACACCTTATCATTCTGCTGGTCCGTCATGCCAAGTGCACTGATGGATAGGCTGCCACTGAACCGACAAACTTCGTGGTCCTCATTTCATATTATTCGCGCGTTTGTTGTCGCTGCACATACTTTTGGGCCTTCCTTGCCGGCATCGTGTTTCTCTACTTCCCTGGCCTGCCACGTTGGCTCATTTGCAATCAGACGATAATTTGGGGCTTCCGACACCGTGCCAAGAACCTCCTCGGTGGTGGGATCGGGCGCTGTGTATGTTGACACAGGATGGCGGACACCTGCCACACTCCTAATTAGTCTACTGGTGAGCCTGTTGGTTTGCAAGCTTGGTGTGCCATTCTTCCCACGCGAGGTGCCTCAGGGCGAGCCTCTGTCCCCTCTTGCCCTCTCGGCTTCTCTGGCTCCATGGAATGTCCTTGCCCAAGCCCTCAGTCCGGACATCGGCACCTGATGCTACATGGATGACCGCGCCATAGCTGTCTTAATGCAAGCCAACAGAGCTCTTCTCAACCGCGCTCTGGACGTCTTTGATCACGCACTTGGTTTCGAGATCAATCCGGGTAAAACCCAAATCTGGGATGGCGAGTTGCCCGATGAGGCCCATCTTTTGCCCTTAGATCTCCGCCACGACGGCACTGATTGAGTCCCGTAGCCCCAATCTCACCTCGCTGGCCATCGAGTTTCTTCGGCAGTGTCTTGGCGGGTATGCGGCCCGCTGTCATCTGGCCACCAGTTTCATTCACCTTCTGTTCGACTGGGCCTCGCCTCTCATGCGCCCTGGCAATATCTGGGACACCAGGGCTCTGTTTAAAGCCGTCACCGGCGCTCTTTCGTCCTGGTGGTGCATGGACTTGCACCCGGCTTTCGGGGTCGCTGTTAGAGGTCTTGCTAATGGCGGCATGGCGGCAGGGTTCTTCGCCCTGGTCCTCATGTCCATGCCGTGCTCAACGCCCACTCACAGGCTTTGCACCTTCGCGTCGTCATGGGTCTGTAACTGTGCAGGCCTTGGACAGGGATTGCCCTCACTCTCCTGTGCATCGGGAGCAATTCACAGCATGCAGGATAACCAGTCCTTGCACCACCTTCGCATGCGTGCGCGTAGACTCGCTCTTGCTCTCGTGCCTCGCACTCGCAAGGATTCCGAGGGTATCGAGCGCATTGACCTGGAAGCCGTTAGCCATCCACGGTTCAAACGGTTTTTTGTCTTCCCTATCGATAGAAGAGGCCACCCTGCTGGCTATCTTTAGATTCGGGGCCACCCGCACGCCTACTAGGCGCTACGCGAGGGTGCCAATCTTGCAAGGCTCCTTTGGCTCCACCCGGCATTACTTCTCGGAGTGTCCCCCGCGCTGACCTGCGGCGTTCCCATCGTATTCCCGCAGCCTGGTGGCGATGCCAGCTGCGGGTTACGACAAAATCTGCTTGGGTCAGCGTCTCTGCTGCTCGGACTTCTGCTGGGCGGGCGGCCTGACTGAGGCTGTGAAGGCTTCCTTTAAGCGCCCCTGTTTCGGGCTTTTTTTCTTCGATAAGTTAGGGCCCTTCTCTGGGCTGTCAGCTGGCCTTCGCGGTGCCTGCTACCATCTGCTGTCCAAGTAGTTCCTCCTTTGTTTTCCCCCCTGTAAAGCTTTTCCCTTTTAGGGGTGTGGGGTTTTCTTTACCACTTGCTACAGGCCCTCCTGTATTTCCCTAAGCCTGCCCCTAAACTCTCGCCGGCAGTTTTGCGCTTGCGTGTTTCTGCTGGCCTGCATCCTGATGAGAATTTGGGGATTCCATCCATGGAACATCCGGTCTCCCAACACCTATCAACAGCCCCCCCACCCCCGCCAGGCAAAAACCTAGGTTCGTGGAATGCCTTGCGCTACCCCT